CCGAGCAGTTGTGTTCGTTGGGCCAGGGTGCCGAGTGCAGGTAGACAGCGAGGTAGGGCTCGGGCTCCCTGGGCAGGTAGTGCTCTGCAGGTGGAATGTGCAGGGTCGGACACCTGCCCGGGAGCCCTCCCTGCCGCATGGGGCCAGAGGAACCTCCATGCTGGAGGCAGCGCCTGGTCCCCCCACTGCTCCCCGGCCAGGCCCTAGGACCCTGTGAAGCAGGTGACAGACTTTACCAAAGGCCATGAATCAGCTCGTCTGTAAGAAACACCTGCTCGCCCAGGCCACCCCCTGGCTGCGCCCACACAGGCCGGCCGAGGCTAGGGGGAGGACGCAGCCGCTGAGTGCCAGCCCACGGCACCCACCATTCAGCACCGTGTAGGTGAGCTGCAGGTGCAGCCCAGCCTCGGGGTTGCTGTTCTCGGGGGCGACCACAACGCTGACCGAGGCCTGGGGCTGGACGATGGTGGAGCCGGCAGGGACGCGGTGGCCCTGGGCAGCCTGGTCTGAGTTGTTGGGCACCTTCACAGTGATGGCACGCTCCGAGGCCAGCTGCCCAATAGGGATCTGAGTGCCAGCCTGCGTCTGGAAGGCCATAGATGCCACCTTGGTGGAGACAGTGTAGTTGCTGATGTAGCCGAAGGGGAAGGGGTTGGAGTCCACGAGGAAGATGAGCTGCACCACGTCGCTAAGGTTGGACAGGGCCCCGCTGAAGGCCGCGGGGATGGAGAAGTGGCAGCCAGGGCCTGAGGCGTTGCCCTGGCACAGCAGGCTCAGCGGGTCTGAACGCTTGCCCTGTGCCGTGATCTCCTCGCCTGCCAGGGTCAGAGGCTCCTCGTTGAGCACCCGGGAGCGCATGAGGATGCACATGAGGTCCGACGAGAGGTGGTAGGCCTTGGATGCCACCATCAGTGATGGCGGCTGGGCTCCCAGCTCTGAGGGCTGCGGGCCCTGCATATCCAAGCTGGCCAGGTGGATGAGGTCACCTGTGGATGGGGGAAGAGATCCAGGAGAGATCGGGGGGGACATTGTGGAAGAGGTCAGAGGAGCCCCACGCACCCACCTGGCCGCACCTGTGATGTTGAGGATGCTGTCGGCGATGGTGGTGGGCGTCCTAGTGCCTGCAGTGGTCTCAGCCTGCAAGATGTGCACCATGTCCTCCAGCTTATGCAGCGTCTTCTTCAGGCACGAGCGGCACACGAGCTCCCTGCTGGAGACCTGCAGGGAGCCCAGGCACTGTGTCCACCCCACTCCAGCCTGGCTGACCAGAGCCAGGCTGAGGGGCTGCTCAGTGGCACCGTCACACTCGCCGTGATTCTGGGATGGCCTCCCCAGCTCTATCAGGCCTTTCCAAACCACCCTTTTGTGCTGCAGCTGGAGAAACCACCACAGATGTGGCTCCACCCATGTGCCTGCCTGCTGAGAGGTCTTCCGTGGCTCCTGCCCACCCACAGGCAAAGTCTAAGGTAACATGGCCCCACCAACCACCCTTGACCATGCACACAGCCATGAAAACCATGTGGCAGACAAGGCAACCCCATCCGCAAGGCTCTCCCCTCCCGTCTGCCCTGCTGGGGCCTCTGCAGCAATCCCCTGCCACACTGGACACAGCACCCCCCATCAAGACCACGCCTAGCCCCACTGATTGCTGAGTCCTGGGCAAGAAGGGTGGTGGGCTGCCTCTCAGGGTGGGAGAGGCCAGGTCAGGGGTGACCACACCAGGGGCCTGACGGGCACAGAACAGCCTCTTCATGTTAGCCCTCCCAACACCTTGGCTGCTACTTATACCCTGGGCCAGCCTGCAGGGTGACACCTGTGGCTCACACTGGGACCAAGGTTGGGCACATGGCCGGGCAGATGGCCAGAAAAGCTCGCAAGGTGGTATCCTACCGTGCACTGGGCCAGTGCTGCCGCGATCTGCTGGATGTCGTCCACAGTGTCAACTCGCAGGGAGACCAAAGTCTCCGTGATGTTCTTGCGTATCTGGGCTCGAAGCTGCTGCCTGAGGTCCGGCTGTGCCGCCATGGCCAGGGCCTGCTCATACTGCGGGCAGTGGGCACAGAGGAGCCATCAGTGGCCGACAGGCAGCCCACTAGCAGCGCCGGAAGGCAGGCGCCATGTGAGCTGTCTCAGCTGCCACAAATAACACAGGCAGCAATGGGAGCCCCGTATCTTCAAAGGCAAAAGGGGGCTTTCCCAGGATCCCCTTTGGGTCTAGGAGCACAAGAAGAGGTGAGGTGAGGCAGGAAAGCCGGGCCCTCGGGAGGGCCCCGAGGGGTGCGCTCCTGAGAGCAGGAATCACAAGGAGGTTAAGCATTCTGTCAGTCCATAGGGAGCCAGGGGACAAGCCCTTTACAAGGATCCAGAATCCAGTCAGGAGTACTGGCCTGGCTGGCCCCCACCCACTGAGGGCAGACACAGGGAGGAGCCTTCCTAGCCCCCCACACTGACCTCGTTGAGCACAGTGATGAGGGCCAGTGAGTACTCGATGACGTGCTGGGGGTCAGCCTGTCTCAGCAGCCGGGGCAGCATGCTCTCCGTGAGGCTGTACAGCCAGAGAGTGAGGTCCAGGGGGCTGTCCCCGGGGGAGCCGAGGGGCTCTGGCAGAATGATGGCCAGAGACCTGCGTGCAGAGCTGAGAGTGAACATGCAGCAGTCCCACTCCCACCCCGCTTAGGCCCTGTTCCCACGGACCCAGGCTCACCTGTTGAGGGCCACCACAGAGGCACCCAGCTGGTCCTGTACGACCACAGCCAGGCCAACCTCGAAATGGGGCGCGAAACCAGGCGGCAGCACAGCCCCGTAGGCAGCGAGGCTGCCCTTGTAGACACAGAACTCCTCACAGTGGCCCTGGCGACAGCGCCGTAGCAGCAAGGAGTACACCAGTGGGGCGCCCACGTCCTCCGCATCCTGCCAGCCTGCGGGCCCTCCACAGCGTCACTGGGGCCCCCTCGTGGGTCACAGTGGCCTCCCCTGACCCCCATCCCCGTGGCGAGCCCACCGCGCCTCCCCGCCCCGGCCGCGAGCCGCACTCACCCGTGCACTCGAAGCGCACCTCGGTGGTGAGGGCGCGCACGGCGTCGAGCGGGAAGAGGCGGCAGGAGCCCCCCAGCGGAGGGCGGTTGGGGGAGAGGCGGATGGAGGCGCAGCCCTCCTCCTCGCCCGAGCGACCCAGCACCGTGAGCGTGAACGTGTAGCCCTCGCCGTCCCTCAGCACGCCGCGCCGCACCACCAGCCGCATGCCCGAGCTGCCCGTGGACGTGGTTGTCTCGTCCAGCACCAACGTCTCGTTGCTGAAGGTGCGCGCGGCCCAGCGCTGCGGGGCAGGGACGAACCAGCAGCTCAGGCGGGCCTGGCGCTCTGCCAGCCCGGACACGCCCCCGCCGTTGGGTCCCGCCTCCACGCCCCACCCACCCGGGCTGGGTCTCCACGCCCCACCCACTCGGGCCCCACCCCCAGGCCGCCCGCCGGCTCACCCCTCTCTTGGAGCCCGCGCTGCAATTGTCACAGCGGCCCTCCAGGTACACATAGGAGCTGCGGCTCACTGCGTACACTGCCTGCGCCTTGCAGGACACACACTCCAAGGACACAATGGGCACCCGGCCGCTCCGGATCAGCACCTGGGATAGGATGGGATTACAGGGAGGTCAAGCCCTGAGATGGGGCCTCCAGTCCTGAGGTCCAGACCCGAGGATGCCTAGTGCGGTGGGGTGGTGGGGGCCCCATGGAGGAGCTGGGCCTCTGCCCTTCACACATGCCGTTCTCCCAGCTGGGAAAGCTCCTCTCTAGGCCTTGCTAACTCCTACTCAGCCCAAAGTCCAGATTCCCAAGGGACAGTGGGCTCAGCCTTGCCTAGTGTATCCATCTGATTTTGTGACTCCCAATCGGGTGGGGGAGTCATCTGCAGGAGCAGGAATGGCGAAGGGTTTATTTTCTGCAGCATCCAGGGCCCACCTTGGCCAGGTAGACAGGAGGCACTCGATAAGTGCCACCCTGTGAACGGACAGGTGAATGAAGGCATGAAGGGACGGAGGAGTGAAGGAACACACGGGTGAGGACAGCTGTGCTCTACACACCCTATCTGAGGTTTCCGATGCCCGGGCTGGGGAGGTGGAGCCCACCTCAGAAAGCAGAGCCAGGCTGGACCCTGCTCCGGGCTCCCACCTCCCCATGTGGCCCCTCTGGGCAGACCCCCATCCCCAGGTAGGGAGTTGGGAGAGGCCCACATTGGGGACGCACACCCCCATCCCAGGCACCAGACCTGGCACACCTGCCCCCATCAGCATGCCCTGACCAACAGCAGCAGGAGTGGCTGCCATGGGGTTGTCTGCATGGTGGTCCTGACCTACCTGGCTGGTCCTGGGGAGGGGAGTGCAAGTGTGTGCTCATGTAGGGGTGAGAAGAGGCCATCCCTGTCAGAAACAAGCACACCCTCTGGGGAGGGGACGTGTTTCCTCACTGTCGGCCTCTGGTGCTGTTGGGACCGTGTATTTCTCACAAGTCCCTAGAGCCCGTGCTACCCCCTAGCACTCGGTGGGCAGCTGTAGCCCGTTTGGAAGGAAGCAAGGCTGGAGTAGGACGTTCCCTTAGATAGAGTTTGTATCAAAAGCAATAACTTAGAAGAGAACCAACAGCCCCTAGGAGCACTAAAACATAGAAAACCTTAAAAAAGGGTGTTTCATGCTATCTGTGGGCGGGTGGCCCTATGTGCTTTGCTCTCCTTGGCACACCCCACCCCACCCTGGGGCCTCGGGCTCCATCTTGCCAGGGTAGGGCTGAGGGTGGGCCAGACCCACCGTCTGGTTGGTGGCCTCCTCCTTCCGGCCTGCCTTCCACACGGTCAGGTTGAAGGTGTACTCCACGCCAGCCTGCAGGCGCTCCCGAGGGATGGTGACCACACTGCTCCCGCGGGGCCCGAAGTTCAGCGCACACCCGCCAGCCTCACTCTGCAGCCCACAACAAGGGGGTGGTGAGAAGCCAGCCTGGCCTCAAAGCAGAGCCTGGCCAGGGGACAGCTGGGGAGACCCCCTCCTCCTGCTGGGACCAAGCCCACAAAGCACTCAGACATCAGGTGGACCCCAGGACCCTGCTGGGCTCATTAGTCCAATGACTGAGGGGAGGGAGGACAGCCCCCTGTGCTGCCACACAGCTGACCTGTGTTGAGGCCACGCAGGCCCAGTGGAAGCTCAGTGGCGTCTGGTCACCATCCTCCAGGTTGGGGTCGTAGGACTTGCTCCCATCCAGCACCAAGTCCTGAGTGTCTGACCACACGCGGTATGAGCCACCCTCGACAATGGGCACCAGGCGCTCGGGGGCCACTGTCACGTTGGCCTGAATGCTCCGTGCCAGTGGTGTGTCCCCAAATGACACCACAAACACAAAACAGTAGTGGCCCACAGGCAGCGCCAGCCGTGGCACCACCAGCTGAGGCCGGCTCATGTCCACACTGGGCAGGGCCACACGGGCCATGCGCCCGGGCCGCTGGCAGCTGGTGGTGCGGTATACCTCCCAGCGGTACTCGGTCTGGTAGGTGACACAGTCACGCAGGTTGACGTGAGCCTCGAGGTAGTTGCGCTGGGAGCGCCGCATCAACACCTGGGGGGGCAGGGCCACATCTACCTCGGGCTCCCTGCAGGCCAGCACGTGGACGGTGACCGTGGCCTGTGCCACGAAGAAGCTCACCAGGTTGGAGGCATTTACCTCCACACGATAGTCCCCAGGCTGCAGGTAGGAGTGGTCGGCCCAGGGCTCCTCCGTGTCCTCTGCTGGGGACCCATCCCCAAAGTCCCAGAGGTAGGCCACATGCCAGGGACTGGGGTCTGTGGCAGCCTCGAACCGGGCCGAGCGGTTGGTGAAGCAGCGGCCACTGTGCAGTACCACGTGCTGGATGATGTCTTGGACCTCGACCATGAGTGTGTGGTTCACACCACCCAGCTCATTGAAGGCTCGCACATGGATCTCCAGCAACCCTGCAGCCACGGGGGTGTAGGTGACATCGCGGCCCGACAAGATGACCAGAGAGTCCCCCTGGACCTTCTGCAATGAGAAGTACCAAGCATAGGCGACGCGGGACCCCTTCTGCACCCGGGCTGTGAAGTTCCTCTCGGTGCCTGTGGCAATGCCCGGCTCGCAGCAGTTGGGCACCTGGAGCCCACCCACAGCCTCCAGCACCAAGACGCGCACCTGCGCCAGGGCCTGGCTCACGTGGTTCTCAGCCTGGATGCTCACCATGTAGTCCCCGACCCGGGGGAAGCTGCGCGAGAAGTGGGGCCCGGGAAGCACCTCAGGGCCAGCCCCGCTGACCTGTAGGCGGAAGCTGACAGCCGAGCCGGAGGTCAGCAGGATCTGAAAGTGGACCAGTTGCCCGGGCTCCACCACCGTGCTGCTGGCCCGCAGCACCAGGCCTGCAACAGGCTCCTCCACTGTGAGGTTGTGTGTAGCTATGACCCAGCTGACTGCATTGGAGGCATTGAGCTGAACGGAGAAGGTGCCAGCATCAGGGAAGACCATAGCAATGTGCTGTTTGTGCCTGCTGCCACCTGGCACAGCCCAGCACCAGCTCACGTTGGTGCCCGAGGTGAGCTGCCCCCAGAAGGGCACGATGGAGCCAGTTGCCACGAAGCCATAGTTCAGCTCACTGGTCCTGATGCAAAGGCCACTCACAGGCACCTGCAAAGCCACCTCAATGGTGGCATTGGCTGAGCCCAGTTGATTCTTGGCTGTGACCATGACGAGGTGCAGGCCGGGGGTAGGAAAAGCATAGGTGGTGAATGATTCTGGGGTCTCCCAGCTCAGCCCTTCCTCCAGGGACCAGATGTAAAGGACACCACTGCCACCAGCCAGCTCAGCATGCAGGGTGACACTTGCATTGACAGCAGCCGGGTTTGGGGAGGCATGTGCAGCCAGCCACCCCACGGGCTCCACAAAGTCCACAGTGCGGTTGGCTGAGGCACTGCCAAGCATGTTGGTGGCCCGTAGCTGGATGTGGTAGGTGCCGGCCTCAAAAATAGTGAGCAAAAAGGCTTTGCCGCTGCCGGCCAGGACTGGGCCGCCATCCCGCTGGGCAGTCCAGCTGTAGGAGATGTTGGTGCCATCCTTGACCACAGCCTGCAGCTGCAGCGTGCGGTTGGTGGGGAAGCAGCAGCTGCCGCCACCACCCACCACCTGCAGCCCCTCGATGTGCTGCAGGACGTAGATGAAGATGCTGTCCTGGGCACTGCTCACCTCGTTCTCGGCCGTGACGATGATGTTGAAGGTGCCCACTGAGCGGAAGGTGTAGGAGATGGTGGGACCCCCAGGGATGGGCGTGCAGCGGTCACAGAGCACCCAGGAGTAGCGCACGTCGCTGCCTGCCTCCAGGGAGGTGCTGAAGCTCACGCTGCCGTTCAGGGGCACCACCGTGCGGCTGGCGTTGACGCTGAGCCCCCGCACACGCTGCTGCACCGTGACGTTCAGCTGGGCCTCGCCACGGCTCACCTCATTCCAGGCAGCCACCCTTATGGTGAAGTGGCCCGTGCTGTTGTAAGCATGGAGGACTGCAGGGCCCTCGAGCCGCCCGCCATCCCCCAGCTCCCACAGGTAGGTGGCAGGGCGCCCGTGGCCCATGGCAGAGAACAGGTACGGCTGCTGCAGCTCCAGCACGCGGGAGCCGTTGACCCTGATGCCCGTGAGCCCCACAGGCTCCTGCACCTCCACGAGCGCCGAGTCGTTCACGGCTGAGATATTGTTGGACACGGAGACCGTCACCACGTAGGAGCCCAAGTCCCAGTAGGTGAACGTGGCCTCAGGGCCCCCAACGCGGGCAACGTCCTTAGTGCCAAAGTCCCAGGTGTAGCGGTAGGAGAACAGGGGCCAGGCGCGGGCCACCAGCTGGGCCTCGTCCCCGAGCCGCACAAACTGCCTCTCCGGATGCAGGGTGACATTGCCCACTTCAGGCTCCACGCAGATGCTGGTAAAGTAATGCGCCTTGTTCACACGGCTTGACAGGACCAGCACCAGCGGGAAGGTGCCACTCCGTGTGAAGTTGTGCGTCACCGTCGGGTCCCCCTGGATGGTTGTGTTGGATGAGCCATCTCCAAAGGTCCAGTCGAAGACGTAGTGGGAAGGGTCCCCGGTAACGTGGGCCGTGAGCCGGGCATAGGGCTGGGTAGGGATGCAGGCCGCTGGGTCGATGCGCAGCACCTCCAGCACGAAGACCTGCACAGGCACGCTCTGGGCCAGGTGGCCAGCAGGGCTAGATGCGCCCACGGTCACCGTGCAGTTCTGTGCCCGCAGGTACACATGCTCCACTGTGGCCTCAGGGCCCATGAGCACCGTGCCATCCCCCATGTCAAAAGTCCACGTGACATTGTCACCCGACTCCAGGGTGGCACTGACCACCACAGGTGCACCCTGCTCCACAGCCGGGCTCAGGCTCACGCTCAGGCCTCGGAGCTCCTCGAAGACGCGGACACTGGTGCATGTCACTGCGCTGCTCACTGTGTTGTTGACTTCCAGGCGGATGCGGTATGTGCCCCTCCAGGCGTACGTGTGGTTGACCTCTGGCTGATGCTGCATCATAGCCGGGGAACCGTCCCCAAAGTCCCATGTGTATAGGACACCCCCGGGTGAGGGCAGTGGGTGCAGAGAGAAGGTGACAGGATGGCCAGCCACCAAGACTTGGCTGCTCACGGCCACGGCCACTGCGGGCAAGGCGGCGCGCACACTGATAGGCACCTGCTGCGTCAGGTTCTCGAAGGCGTTGGAAACAAGCAGGGTCAGGTTGTACTCACCTAGAGGACAGGCATGGAATGGGGACGGGGCCGCCTCCACCACCTGCTCAACAAAATCCCTACCTAACCCCATGCTGCTGCTCACGTGCCTCTGGGGAGGGCAAAGGTGGCCCTGCTCAAAAAGCAGTGGAGGGTCGTTTCTGGCCAGCAGACTCGAATCACAGGGCTAAGCGGCCCAGGCCACCCCTCAGCCCTGGACACCCCTCCTTCACCCAAGAGTAAAGGCCCCAGGCCATCAATGGAGGCTGGATCGAGGGGGGCTGTCCCCCAGGGAGGGGCTGTCTCCAGGGCAGGGCCTGCCTAAGCTGGTGGCCGGCGGGACGGCGGGACGGCGGGCCCTCCTCCTACCTGGGACGGCATAGGTGTGCGTGGTATTGTGCTCCACCAGCACCTGGGCCACCGTGGGGTCCGGGACCCGGAAGGAGTCGTTGTATGGAGGCTTGAACTGACCGATCACTTGCTCCCCGTCCCCAAAGGTCCACCTGCCAGGGCAGCAGGCAGGCAGTGAGTGGGCTGGGGGGAGGGGCTGGTGGCTCCCATGGGGGGCACCGCAGTCACTCTTTCCTTTCCCCTCAGTTCGGGGCACCACCCAGCCCTGCTGCAGCCCCCCATCGGCTCCCAGGGGCCCATGCAAGCAGCACCTCCTGACAGATGAGGAGGTGAAGGCTGCCGGAGAACCTGGCCCAGCTCAGCCCGCCCTGGCTCCAGCCAGCCGGCACACTCACAGGAAGGCCACCTCCACAGCCGAGTCCACCAGCACGTCGGCCGCCAGTACCAGTGTGGTGTTGGGGGGCAGCACAGGCGGCACCGCAGACACCCGCAGGCCGCGCATCCTGTGCATCCGCTCCACGGTGACGTTGTAGTTCACGGTGACATTGCTCACGTGGTTGGAGGCTGTCAGCTGTGGAGACAGATGGCTGTGAGTGGGCTGCCAGCAGGCTGCCAGGCAGCATGGACAGAGCCCCAGCCCACACTCACCCACGGCCGTCGTGGGGTCCTCGGGAGCAAAGCAGAACAGAAGGCAAAAGTGAGCACTGGACACCGGCCCATCCCCTCCCCCGCCCCCCACGCCCCTAGCCCGCGCCTGCCCACCGAGAGCTTGAAGATGGCAGCACTCTGGTAGATGACGTTGAAGACCACGTTGTGGAAGGTCAGGGACTGCTTGTCATCGATGGTCCAGCGGAAGACCACATCTGAGCCAGCCTCCACCAGGGGGCTGTACCTCTGTGGGGAAGGCAGAGTATCAGCCGGCCGTGACCCTGCCCAAGCCCAGGGTCTGTGGAGAACCCACTCTGCCCTCGGCCCACGTCGGCCCAGGTCCGTCCGCCCACCCGGGCACACCTCCCTTTTGGTTTCCCCGGACAGGACTTCAAG